GCCCGCTCTCGGGGTTCGGAAGCCCGCGCTGCTGTTCTTTCCCCCTGGTGAGAGGGCTCGATGCTCCGCCTGTCTTCCTCCAAGGAGGTTGATGAGGGCGTTGATGAGCTCGTCAGTTGCACAAGCATATGCCTAATATTATAATGAGCAGCTTTACTGTGGAGCGGAGCTGTTTTACAGTCGCACAAGCATTATGTCTATATTACTATGAGCAGCATTTACTGGGGAGCGGTGCTCGCGCAGTCAGCTCTCGGAAATAAGGGGCTGATTGTACTTCTCCCTGCTGAATGCTCTGCTCTCGCTGGGCACACTCCGAGGAGTGTGTCTGTGCTTGCGAGCTCGCGGTTCGGTCCCGCTATTGCTGAGGCACGGCGGCGATTCAGATCGCGGGGATCGCACGTGGATCTAGCGGATGGGTTGGAGACGGCTCTCCCTTTCTCCGCCTGCACTCCCTAGATCCAGCTCTCTCTCTCGATGCTGCGGTTTCTTCCACCTCTGAGTGAGAGCTCGCTGCTGCAGCTATTTTTCTCCAAGGATATTGATATTGTTTGTGTGACCAAGCGGCTCGCGCGCTGCCGAGGCAACGCGTGTATTACATAATTTTCAGTTTTTGATGTGAATCTTACCACACCAGACCGTGTTTAGTCGTTTGGTTGTTTGGCTGCATTTAATTCTAAGGAATTAAATGAGGTATTTATCTGACTATGAGAAGTTAGATATATAATTTTCGATTTTTGATATGAATCTTATCACACCAGACCGTGTTTACTCGTCTGGTTGTTTGGCTGCATTTAATTCTGAGGAATTAAATTAAGTATTTATCTGATTATGAGAAGTTAGATATACAGGGGCTTGAGTAAGCGCAGATGTTTACCTCTCTTCCTCATTCTGGGGGCGTCACTTCTTGTACTCCGCAGAGTCTAGAGTCAGAGTGGCGTTCCCAGGCCGAAGGCTTGTAGCGGAAGGCGGTTCTGCAGACCGTCATTCTCGTTGGATAGTCTCCGTCTAAAACGTCCTGACGCCTAACGCCTATAGGACTTCTCAGTGCCCTCAGGAGATCGGTCTGCCAACCCTGCCGGTGTTCCAGCGAGCAGCAGTCTCCGGCGAGCACTTCTCTCAGTTACCGCCGGGAAACGTAGCGGTGCTAAGAGGCTCGCGACCTCCACGGAGGTCTCTAGAGCAGCTAGTACGGCCGTCCCCTGCCGGTTCACCGCTCCAGGCCACCGAGCTAGCCGCTCTAAGTGCACCAGAGGCCAGTCTCG